TGTGCTGGCAAATAATTTAAATATGTTTTGGAGCTTATTCCCTGCTTCTGCTTATCATAAACACCCAGGAGTAACTCGTTGGATTCTCCTGATAGACCCTAGGGTTGATAACTGGAGAAATATCCTTTTAAAAAAGACATGGATCAAACTTGGGTTTGAATATTTTGCTTTGAGGACAGTTTTGGTGCTGCTGGATGGGCCAAAAATGCTCAGCCTTGTCCATCACTGTGTGGATCCTGCTCAGCTTATTAAAAATATAAATAAATATTGGTTTCTACCTGGTTTTGACCTCTCAGACAAGTCCCTCCCTTCTAAAAATGGGGAAGATAATTAAGGTTCACAGATTATTTCCCTGAATAATCAGTGACTGTGAAACCAGCCACAGGTTATCCAGGGAATGTCCTATCCAGAGGCACCAACACTTGGATTTTATTTATTTTTAAGCTTAATTCCCAGTTTCCATAGGTCATGGAGACAAGATGCTGCTCCTGAAATGCTCTGAGGTGTTAAGCTGTGCTGAGGGCTGGAATTCCTGGAGCTCAGTTCCTTGCCTGGAACAACTGGGTTTGTGTGGAAAGCCAAATTTCATCTCTGCTGTTGCTGAGAAAATCCAAGTAAATGATTCTTACCTTCACCAGTTTTCATCTTTAATGGCTTTTTAAAAAAATGTCCTGATTATTTTGGGAAGGAGCTGTGGGTAGGAGATCCCTTCCCTATGGATAATCACCAGAGAGCCTGAGGGGAATGACATCAGTACTGCCCATGGATTACTCCCATATATTTAAATTAATTTTTTTCCAAATCTCCTTGGTGGAATACTCCTCATTTCCACGTGGGTTCTTGCAGAGTGTTTCCTCAACACACGGAAATTTGGGATGCTCCTGCAGCAGCAGGAATGGCATCAAGTGCTTTGGATGACACAGCCAGAAAAACGGCCCAGGTTGGACACAGGAGGTGGGAAAACAACCTGGCCTCTTTGCCACCTCACACAGACAATTGTGGGGCTGGTTGGATGGCAGCAAATCCCCTGAGGGGTTTGGGAAGCCTGTGGTGCTGGAGTTGGGATGCAGGGATAAGGAATCCATGAGTGATGCAGTTTTGGTGCAGGAACACGTGGTTGGGTTGGGTTGTGGAGCAGGAAATGCCAGAGGTGTGTTCAGAGATCCCTTCCTCACTCCAGGAAGGTCTTCACAGGCAATCAGAGCAGAAATGTGCCGCCACCCCCAGCTAAGTTGGATTTCTGGAAAGCTTCTTCCAGCTTTTGCTCTCTGAAAAATGTTTCTCACCATCCTCATCCTCTTTTTGAACATCGAGCGTTCCCTCAGTACCAGACTGCACAATACCAGTGTGTGCTTGATGCTGGCATTTGTTGGAAACCAGTCAGAAGCTGTGTGCCAAAACCTCGACCTTTTTAGAGCTAAACAACATCAATTCCTTGTGCACTGCAGTGCTGTTTGCAGGAATGAATATTCCCACAACTAAACACCTGGAATTGCAGCGAGCAGGATTTCTCTGCAGCCAGTCCTTGGGAGCTGTGCCTGTCCTTTCATTTCTCTGCAGTTCAGCTTTTTGTTGTTGTTTTGTTACTTTATTTCCTGTTAGCATAGAGAAATCCCAACGTTTTGGCAGTTCTGCTCAGCAGCCAGGGGTGGGGGCAGTTATTTGTTTTTTGGGGGCAGTCTTTGTGCTGGGGTTTGTACCTGGCAGGTGCCACTGATCTTTGTGCTCCACTGCTGCAGGTGACAGGAAAGAAAAGCAACATTTCCTGCAGCAAAACTCTTTGTGTCTTCGCCCTTCAGCTCTGCTGCTGCAGCTGAGCCAGCAAGGGCTTGGAGTTGAGATGAGATGTGACAGAGAAAACAGGAGAAATTGAGGCTTTTTTGTAGATTTTCTTGATGTGTTTGGCAGCACTTGGCTTGTCCCTGCTGTGTTACCCTGCCTGTCCCAGGGTCAGGATACCATGGATCAGAGCATGGAGAGGGCTTGGATTTCTGCTGGTGGAGCTGGGTTGGTGTCAGATTGTGCCCTTTCCTGACCCAGAGATGGGGCAACTGAGAGGTGTTGTAAAACTTTTATTCCATTTTCAGTCTCATGAGAAGGGTGAGACAATACAGATGTTATAATTCACACCATCACAATCAGAAGCCAACTATTTCCTAATTACAATACACTAAAGTGTTTCTTGGCCTATCAGCTTTAGCCACGCCATGCTGTAAATGCCTTAAAGCCAGTCATCTAAAATTACCCCTCGTGGGTCCCACTACAATGCATCTCTCAAAGTTCTACTTCTCTAAAATAATCTAGTTTTATTTGTAAGACCATCCTTTGAAACTTGTTTCTAGTTCCATTTCTCTCGCAGCAATGTCTGTCCTGTTCCATGGCATCTCTAAGTCAGCATTTCTTATCTCTTACAAATCCATTTCCCACAGGTTGGGCCCTGTAAACCACAGCTGGGTTGGAGGAGGGACAGGAATTCTCCTGGTGATGTTGTAGGAGACTTTTCCCAGCTGGGCTTCCCAGGGACCATCCCCTGGCAGTGCCCTGTGCAAGGTGGGCATGGTTTGAGGCATTGCCTCTCTGTGATCTGTTTAAAAGATTTATCTATAAATGATGGAAGTATAATAAACCCACCAGGCTTTATTGCTGGTTTTAAGGATGGATCTGTCAGTGCCCTGAACACTGCAAACAAAATTGTTCTTGTCCTCCTGTGCGAGGAATGCGCCGGGTGGGGAAGATCTGGGGATTTTGTTTGTTTTGGTCTCTGAGTCTGGCTCCAGCATGGACCCTGCTCTCTGTGTGCTCATTCCAGCTCGCCTTTACCTTAAAAATGGAAATTATCCAGCCTGGAGCAGGAGCTTCTCCCTTGCCTCAGTTATTTCTTAATCCTCTTGTGCTCTTGGCGAGCTGAGCCGGTGAGTTTATCGCAAAACAAGAACAGAGTGAAGCTCTGAGAGGTTCTGCCTGTTCAGGAAGTGACTTTAATGGTGATGGCATTAAACCCTTCAGCTGTAACTACTCATTCTGCTGAAGAAGTGTTTGTATAGCATTATAAATAGTGTTTTTCCGTGTTTCAAATCTATTTGTTTCACTTTCCTTTCAGCTGTCAACACTTCAGATTGGAGCTGAAATGCCTTATTCTTTTAAGACATCTTCATTTCTTACCAAGTACCTCGTCTGTTCTCATTAGTGACTCTGTGACAGTCTCAGAGTTAAGAGTGAAGAAGGTTCTTGGGGTATTCAGGGAAATCAAACAGCTCCAGTTCCATCCAAAGGGTTTGTGGAAGGCTGCAGCAGGGATTTGCAGCGAGGTTCCCGAGCTGGGGTCCAGCAGAGCAGAAATCTTGTGGCGAATTTGACTTCAGTGTGGCTGCTGCAAACCTCATTAAAGACATGAATCATCTCATTTAGGGCTTTTAAATACTAGGAGCAGTTTCAGTGGAGGGAAAACCTCCCGTGGACACCTGGGCAGTGAAGATCTCTGGCAGGGGCTGGAGCTCTGAGGAGATGATGGGAGTTTTGGGCTGGTTTTGTTAAAGCCAGGGGTAGCACCTTTCTAATCTTGGCACTTCAGGTTTGAGAATTAGTGTGGAGAAAACAGAACAGTGTTTGAGACTGAGTACCTTGCACAGTTTGAAGGACCAGAGAGGATGGGAGCATTTGTAGTCAAATTCAGAGATTCCAAATGCAAGTTCTGGTTTGGGTCTTCGTCCTCCAGTGGCTGGGAAATTGCAGAGCCCTCCCTCGTGTGCTGCATTAGCTGCTTTGGTCCCAAATCCATCCATCAAGTGTTGCTTGGAATCAAGTCTTCTGGGATTGACCACAGAATATTCAGGGTGTTTGATGCTTTCCTGCAGAAGATGCAGGCAGCCTGTCACATCCGTGGGTTTTAGGCATTGTATTTCTTTATGATTCCTACAAACTTCTGCAGGGATATCCTCATTCCAGCTGGTGTCTTAGGCCTTCTGGTGATGAGCAAGCCCCTGGCAAGCACTGAAATGTATTTTTCAATAAAAAGCAGGCCCTGAAGTTGATTTTCTGGCTCCTGCCTGCCCAGTTGATGCACACTGGTGATTACTGGTTTCACTGGTTTGGGAAGTGTTTTTCTCAGTTCCTGGAGAAGTGAAACAGGTGACAAGTTGTACCAGTGTGATTCATTAGATCCTGTTGGGAGGCACTAAATGGCTGTGTTAATGAAGATGCTAATTAACAGAGGGCAAAGCCCAGCTCCCCCATCCAAACAGGACACACAGCTCTGATGGGAGAAGAGCAGAGGTGGAAGGGGAAGAAGTTTCCTTTAACCCAGGAATGGTGACAAGGCTCAAATGGGATTGTATTCACTTTCCTTTCCTTCAGCCTGTGTGGATCAGTTCTGCTGCATGGCAGAAGCTGAGGGAAGTGCTGTTTGGAGCTGAGGACTGGCACAGCTTGGATATTGTCAGTGTGCAACTGCTTTTACATCCAGCTAGAGCAAGAAAAAAATTAGTACCATCAGAGATTTCAGCAAGTGATTAAAAAATAATTGGAGTTACAGCCTTTATTTTGCACTGAGTCCTTTTTTCAGCTTTTTGCCCACAGAATGAAAATGCCTTTAAAAATCTCTCATTGCAGAACTTGAAAATAAACACTGAGCATTGCATTAAATACATGAGCATTGTACAAGGGGCAGAGCAGTGGCACAGAGCCTTGAAAACTTCATGCTTAAGGGCTTCATGGCTTTCTAGCGTTGGTGAGGATGCTGAATTCACCTGTTAACCATTTGTTTTGTTTCTCTGAAGCAAATGGTTCTGAGCCTTGGTGAGGGTGCTGAAAGTCACCTGTTAACCCTTTGTTTTATTTCTGGTGAGAATGCTCAAGTCACCTGTTAAACCTTTGTTTTGTTTCTTTGAATCAAGTGGTTCTGAGCCTTGGTGAGGGTGCCGAAAATCACCTGTTAACCCTTTTTTTATTTCTTGTGAGAATGCTCAGGTCACCTGTTAAATCTTTGTTTTGTTTCTTTGAAGCAAATGGTTATGAGCCTTCGAGTTTCGGAGCTGCAGGTGCTGCTGGGCTACGCGGGCAGGAACAAGCACGGCCGCAAACACGAACTGCTGACCAAAGCCCTGCACCTGCTCAAGGCTGGCTGCAGCCCCGCCGTCCAGATGAAAATCAAAGAACTCTATAGGAGAAGGTTCCCCCAGAAAATCATGACCCCAGCAGACCTGTCCATCCCCAGCGTGCACTCGAGCTCCATGCCGGCCACGCTGTCGCCTTCCACCATTCCACAGCTGGGCTACGACGGCCACCCCGCCACGTCCCCCCTGCTCCCCGTGTCACTGCTGGGACCCAAACACGAACTGGAACTGCCCCACCTCACCTCGGCCCTGCACCCCGTGCACCCCGACATCAAGCTGCAGAAACTCCCTTTTTATGACTTGTTGGACGAGCTGATCAAACCCACCAGCCTAGGTAAGGAGAGCTCCTGCGGCGCTCGTTGTGTTTGGGGGGGAAATGGTCAAATTCTGCTGCTGCTGCAGCAGGGGGTTAAATATTGCATCACAGCAGTGTTTAGAGAATTGCTATTTTTGGTAAGTTTTGGAACAGATTGTTCTACATGGAGAGACATCTTACCTAACACTCATTAGTTGCTTTAGCTGAGCCTCTAAATATGGTTTAAACATCCGTTATTTTTAAGGGGGGGGCTTTGGGAAAAAAACAAACTAAATCTTAGGAAAAAAAGGGGAAAAAAAAACCAAACCCAGTCTGCTTTCAGTAGTTCTTATAAACCACAGAGTTTCATTATTAAAAAAAAAAACCAAAGTAAACAGAACTACCCCCAAATCTGTCAAGCTTCTAGAATGTTCTCATCCGTGCTGGGAAGGAGTGCCAGGCTGGAAATTTGCTGGATCCATTACAGCCTGAGCATCTGAATTTAGGGTTCTTCTGCAGTTGTGGCTACTTTCCTTGCAGCTGATTTTTGTGTGAAGGTATAAATCGCTGGTGGGGCTGCTGAGGAGGATCTGCTGCTGCCGGGGCATTATGTAATGTGTGATTTTCCTGGCTCCACGGAGCCCTTCGCAGCATGCTTAACTTCTAATACCCCTCAATATTGCCTAAATGCACCAAGCCTGGTGATTTCTGTGTGGTGGAACCTTCTGCTGGCTTGAAAGCCCAGGAAAGATTCCCTGCTGGTAGGAGGAGCAGATTGGTGAGAGGAGATCTGGGGAGAGAGGGTGGGTGAGTGCGAAAAAAAAAGTCCTTTGCAGAAGAAATCCCTTGTAAACAAAGCTGAGCAGGTACTTTCCAGTGACAGTCTGGAGGGCTGGGGGATGTGGGAGGCCTGATGTGTGAGTGCTGAGGTTGTCTGTGCATTGCTGAAGGATCTGGCACAGTATTTTGCATTTTTTTTTTTTTTTTGCTTTAGTTGCTGTAATTGAGGGAAAAGCAGCGAGATTTTGGTAATCTAATCTTCTGGTTCAGGTGTTCTTTGCAGAGGTGCCCTGTATCTGTTTAGCTTTAATCTAAGCCCTAATTGCTGAATAACCATTCCAGGCAGTGCTGGTGCTGGGAGCTAACGAGGTGCTCAGTATGTGGCTCATCACTTTTACATCAGAAATACTTCGGAATAAGGCTGTAATTTGCACAAGACATTCCAGTGCAGGAGTGATGGTGTGCATTTATTTGTTTATTCCTGGATGTGGGAAGAGCCCTTTGCTGTCAGCTCTGAGAGGGACAGAGCACCCCAAATGCAGGGATCATCATTCACTCCCTGCCAGCTCTCAGGCCTCAGGAGCTGATATTTCAAGGGGACAAGGGGATATTTCTCCCCTTTGTGGAATGTCAGGGTAAGAAAATGGAAGTGGAATTCCAAGCAGATACCTTTGGAAGCAATCCCTGCCCTTTCTGTTCACTTCAGGAATGGTTGGGGCTTGTTTTGTGTGGGAATTCTGTTTGTCTGAAGCAATCCTATTAAAAAGCCTTTGAGTTGAGAGTTTGGGGGGAGAGCTTCAGTATCCATCATAAAATTCTGGAATGGTTTGGGTTGGAAAAGCCCTTAAAGCCCATCCCCACACCTTCCCATATCCGTGGCCTTGGACACTCCAGGGATCCAGGGCAGCCACAGCTCCTCTGGGAATTCATCCCAGCCCCTCCCCAGCCTGTTCAGACTCACATTCATTTTCTCCATTTCTGCATTTACTGATGCTTTGACTACAAAATCTGAAATCATTTGTAGAACGTTTGCCCCAGATGGTCTGGGCATCCTTCTGTGTGCTGCCAGCAGTGTGGGTTTCCTCAAGTGTCCCATGTGTGGGTTCCCTGGTTTGTTTTCCACTGGCAGATATTACTGCAGCCACTCAGAACTTGGAATTTAGCCAGTGTTTCAGCATCTCCTGCTTGCTTTTTCCCATCAGATTACTCATGGGATAGGGATAAAGGACTTTTGAATTTACTCTGGTTCCCTCCCCCACAAGGATGAACTGATGACCCGACGTGGGGTTTGGAATAATTCTCTGCTTGCTTGAAACAGAAGGGAAAGAAAATGTGTGTGAGGGAGAGAATTTGTGTTATTCATACTTCACACCCTGCTGAAATGATATAAAACTGGGCAAAGCACATCCTTGGGTGCTGGGATTGCCCCTGGTTGTTCCCAAGTCCACAGCTGGGGAGGTTTGCTCCAGTTTTCTGCCCCTTTGAGAAGCATGGTTGGTTGAAGAAGCAATAATTTGAGCCAGCCTCAGGGCAGGGAGTTGCCCAGCAGGGCACTCCAGCAAGCATTCTGTACCCAAATATTTCGTGTGGGTGGGTAGCACACGGCCAATGTGAGGAACAGATAAGGAAATGAAATCTGCTAGCTTTTATTTGTACCGGCAGGAACAAAAGGAGGAAATAGAAATTCTTCAATTTCACTGCAGTTCCAGCCTGGGATTCAGAGGGATGTGCTGGGCTGGCTTCGTGGAATGCACGGATTTCTTCTCCATCCCTGCCCTTCTCACCAGCAACCTGGGATTCTGGGCTGAATCCCAGAATCCCTGAGGCTGGAAAAGCCCTCCAAGATCAGAGTCCAGCCTTTGATCATCACCTTGTCCCCAGCCCAGGCCCTGAGTGCCACGTCCAGTGCTCCTTGGACACTGCTGGGGTGAGACAAAGAGCCATTTGTTCCTTTGCAGTGGAGCTGTTGAATTTGATCCACATTTATTAGTCACCCTCCCTGCCAAGTGCAGGAAGCATGGGGATGGGATGGGTTTGTGTCCCAGCCAGCCAGGAAAGCTCCTCGTTCTGCAAATGTGTGCCTGCAGCTCTCTGCCCCTGGTTAACCACCATTTTCAGGGATTTTTCATTTTTTTACAAGGTTTTTTTTTTTCATGTTTGGAGGAAAAGCTGTCCACTCTGGCTTTGACGGAATGTTTGCCTCATTTCTGTGCTTCTCTGTTGTTTTCCTAATAGGATCTAAAGAGGAGAATTGAGGTTGTTTGTCAAGTGAAGCTGCAGCTCTCTCTTAATTCCCCCATTTCCAGCCCCCAGAGCACAGACATTGCTAATTGGTTGTTTTTTAAGCACATTTTCTAAAAGTAACTCCTAACGCACAGATAAGATCTCTTTTGTGTGCTGAAATGTGTTTACTGTGAGCAGCAAGGCCCAGAATTTGCCAGATTATTGTGGAAGGGACATGAGATAGTTAAACAGCATCTTAAAAATGCCTCTTGTTACAGCAAATGTCATTCCTAATTGCTGGAGCTGTGTAGTTGTTCCAAAAAACATTTTAACTGGCTTAGGGGTCTTTACTTACCTGTAAGGGAAATGAAGCTGTTTTATTTTTTTTTTTCCCAATTGAAAGGATTAAAGAGGCTGTGAGCTCTCCTCCTTTTTTAAAATCAATCCAAATGGCACAAGGATCATCCTCCTGCAGTTTATTTGCTGTGCTTCAGCTCTCAGTGATACAAACACAGCACTGAAAGTTGGATCTGAGCCAGAGAAATGAGAATTTTTACCTGCAGCCTCCTGCAAGGAAGAGGCACAGATCAGTCATTATCCCTCAGAGGCAGCAGAATTCCAGCTCCATCAGAGCTTCCAGTGAGGCACTCTTGATGGAGGGCTCAGGTCAGTTCCTTCATTTCTGTGCTCTGCTCCCAGGATTTCTGTAAGCAGATGAATTTCCCCCTCAGGGGTTGATTCCCACCCTGCATTTGTGCTCCTGCCTTGCACTTCCATGGATTTTCCTGTGGCTGTGAGCGCTCCTGGTGCCTCAGACCTGGAGCCAGATCTTGCAGCTGAGCTGCCTAAAATCTTGAGGGTGCCTGTAGTTCAAGGTACAGCCATTAAACAATTAAACAATTGAGTGCACGAGAAAGCTGGGCTGGAACCCATGAAAGTTTTGTTTGGCAGGAATTTCTCCTTTTTCTCTATCAGCGAGCTGATCTCGTGCTCTGTGCAATTGCTATTATGGTTTATATGAAAGTCACGCTTTTACTGTCTGCTGTGTTTATTTTTTTTTTTGAAATGTACTTTGTGGGAGGAAGTTCAACAAAACACTAAATTCTCAACTCAGCTTTGAGTTCTCTGACTTCCGGCCCTGCAGCTTTTAATTGTGCAAGAGCGGGGTGAAATATTGGCTCTGTGCTGGGGCTGAGCTGGAATTACAGCGCATTTGGGGTTCTTTACTTGGATTTCCATGTGCTGGGCCTCAGGCTGAGCTTTCCACAGTCCAGAGTGTCTTTTGAGGGAGCTTTAAGCAACTGGCTAACTCCTAAAAAAAGGATTTATTCAGGTTTTCTTCAGCTGATTGCTCAGTCTTCTCTAGAGTGGAGCTGATGTCCTGAGGTTCCGGGACATGGAGGTGCTGAGATTCCAGGCCCTGACAGGACATGGATGTCCCAAGATTCCAGAACCCAGATGTCCCAAGATTTCAGGCCATGGATATCCCAAGATTCCAGGCCTTGACAAAGATTCCAGACCCTGACAGGACATGGATGTCCCAGGATTCCAGGACATGGATGTCCCAAGGTTCCAGCCCTGACAGGACATGGATGTCCCAGGATTCCAGGACATGGGTATCCCAAGGTTCCAGCCCTGACAGGACATGGATGTTTCCAGACACTGCTGGAATGGAGCTGGGAAGCCACTTGGCTTCCAGAGAAGCCCAGGGAATATAAAATATGCTGAGTTAGGCCAAACAAGGGACAAAACCCATCTCCTTGGCCCAGCAATCCCATCCTCTGCCTGAGCAGAAAACTTATTTTGTTGAGAGGAAAACTTCTCCAGAGTCAGGATCCATCAGAGATGTGACAGTGCTGCCTGTGTGCTGCTCCTTTGAAGTGGCTGACTTGGTGCTTTTAGCAATAAAAGTTAAAATATCGAAGCCTGAAAGCAGCATTGGAGCTGTGGGACATAATTCAGGTGTCTGAAGGAATCAAGGGGCTGAATTTGAGTTAGGAGAATCCTGTGATGTTCCTTCCCTCTGGAAAAATGAT